TATTTTATATTTAAGTCTGTGATCCATTTGAGTTAATTTTTATATAAGGTATGAGACCTGGGTTGAGGTTCATTTTATTTTTGCCTGTAGATGTCCAATTATTTCAGCAAACTTTTTTTTTTAAGATTTTATTTATTTATTTGACAGAGAGAGGCACAGCGAGAGAGGGAACACAAGCAGGGGGAGTGGGAGAGGGAGAAGCAGGCTTCCTGCCGAGCAGGGACCCCAATGTGGGCCTCGATCCCAGGACTCTGGGATCATGACCTGAGCCGAAGGCAGACGCTTAATGACTGAGCCACCCAGGTGCCCCTATTTCAGCAACCATTTATTGAGAAGTCCGTCTTTCCTTTCGTGAATCGTTTTTGCACCTTTGTAAAAAATCAGTTGGGCATATTTGTATGGGTTCCTTTATGGGTTCTCTATTCTGTTTTGTTGATCTATACATGTACTTCTCCATCAATACCACACAGTTATGATGGTAAGTCTTGAAGTTGGGTAGACAGATTCTCTCTCACTATATTCTTTTTTTTCAAATTGTTCTAAAAATTCTAGTTCCTTTACCTTCTACATAAACACTATGCATATATTGAAACTTTTCTATCTTCTTTCAACCACTTTGACCTTTTAATTTTTTCTATCCAATTTTTTTTTAAAGATTTTATTTATTTATTTGACAGAGAGAGACACAGTGAGAGAGGGAATACAAGCAAGGGGAGTGGGAGAGGGAGAAGCAGGCTTCCCGTGGAGCAGGGAGCCCGATGCAGGGCTCGATCCCAGGACCCTGAGATCATGACCCGAGCCTAAGGCAGACGCTTAATGACTGGGCCACCCAGGCACCCCTCTCTATCCAATTTTTGTATCCTTACATGTTTTCCAGCTTATCTTCAATTTCCCTCATTAAATGTTCATTCAAATCTGTACCCTTTTCACAACTTGTAACTTATTCTTCACTTATTCAATTTCTGTGAGTTTGGTCAGTTTTCACTGCATTTTTTCCTGTTTTGTTGTTGTTGGGTGGGGTTTTTGGGTCCATTTCTTAGTTTTAAAACTTCTGGTTCTGAGTGTGTGCACCCAGGTATGTCGTGTGTGCTTGTTGAAGGTACTTATTTTAGGTTGGTGTGTTGTCTTACAACTTTCCTTTGTGAAGTAGTTGCTTATTTGATGAAAATTTTTATCAGCTGAGATGATCGTATTTCCATTTCATTTTTTTTTTCCTACAGGAGTTTTATAGCGAGTTTAATTTTTTCCCCTATTCCTTAGCATTTCATGGGTTGGGTTACTATTTAAAGAGCACCCTCTCTTGTCAATTTTGTGAAATACGGTTGTGTAAATGGATGACAATGGTGGTAGAGAGGGGGTAGAGAGGAAAGAAGGGGTTCACCTGTCTTTTGTTTTTCTTTCCTGTCTTTTGGATCCTTAGTTTCCCCCTTTTCCTTCTTTCCTTTCATGCTCTCTCTTCTATGGACACAACCCATTCTCGATTTACATTTTTCTCTTATGAAAATGACTCTTGTCCCATGCTGCTACCTTACATTTTGCTTGATTTTAAGCCTTTTCCTTGTGGCCAGTGTCGTGAACTACCAGACACTGACTTCTGTTCTTATTTTGGCACTTACTTGTGGTGTATTTTTTTCTTTCTGTGGACAATTTTGTCTGTTTTGCCTTTGTCCTAAACTTTTCTCTCTCTCTCTCAGACTTCTCTCTCTCTCTCCTCTCTGTCTCTGTCTCTCTCTTGGAGTCTCTTATACCTGCCCTTACCCTACTCTCTGGACCCACAGGTTCATAGTGTTTGCTGTTTGACTTTTTATTTTTATTTTTCATAAATTGAAATTTAGCATACTCTCTACCTCCCAGTAATGCCAATAGCATGGGTCATGGGTGATTCCATTTGTGCTCTTTGTTCTAGGGTTAGGATTTGTGAAGAGGTACAGATTCAAATGGCTGCCATTATCCTGCCAGAAGCCTCTAGAATATAATAATTTATTGACCAAAAGACATCATGTAGTCCCTATAAAACTTGTGCTGTAAGGGGACACTTGGGGAAAAATTTACATAATAGTAAAATAAAACTTACATAACAACTTTCTTTTTATAACCATGACAATAAACATTCTTGGACTTGGATTATAGTTCTAAATAATTTATCTCCTTTAAATCAATGAAATATAAAGGCAGGCATAGGAATCCTATGTTTCAACACTAGAAATGATACCAAATAATGATTCTATCGTATAGAATTTTAAAGCTGAAAGAAAAGTTAGAGAGCATCTAATCTAATCCAATGTATCATTCTATAGGTGAGGCTAAGAAAGGTAAAGTAATGTGCCCAAGGTTACCCTGAGAGTTACTAGAAGGGGTGGACCTGGAACCAGGTTCTCTTGGCTTCCTGTCCCTATTTCCTCTTCTGTTAAATGGCCCCCATTCTGGTTTGGCCTTTGGTAGGTTAAGTACCATCACGACCCTTTTCCTGTTAGTACAAAAGAAATTAAATCACTTGCCCAAGATTGTTTATGTAGTAAGCAGCAAAGGTAGGTGTGAGGAAGACCAGGAGCCTTCTTATGCAGCAGTCACTGATTGTATGGCACGGTCTGCATGTATCAGCTGCCCGCCTTCCCTTCTGCTCTCTCTCTTGCCTCTAAGACTTGATGAACACCTGAAATTTTTCAGATCAATGTATGGATCTATAGGGTTCTCAACAGAGTTTACATCCAGTGCAATTCATTTTAAAGAGGTGAATGTGGCTCAGAGGATTGACGGTACACACAGGTGAAAGTTTACAGGTCTTGAAAAACAAAGGTTTGCATCTAGGCTTTTCCTCTGTACCAATCTTCTTGGTCTAACTCAACCACCCAACTTCTGCCTGCTTTAAGGGCAGTGTGCTTGCTGTTATAGTTTCCTGACTATTGACAAGAGGCTTATCCATCAAATTCTTTGGGTGCTCTTGAAACGTGTACCTCATGTCTGCCAGGGTTGCCTTGTGTTGAATTTTCTTTGTGAGCCAAGGACAGAATGTTCTTCTCTGCTGCACCAATAGCACTTCCCCATACACACTCAGGGAAAGCTTTTTCACTCTCAACAGGCTCAAAAGTCTTGACTGGAGTACTTCAGAAATAGGCCTGGTTTATACTTTTATCAAAACAAGCAGAGCCTGGGCAATTCCTGGCTTGGAAGAGCACTGATGATCTGAAATTCTCCTAGGCAGGTGCACAAATGGTGTTACCAAAGGGCAAGTGTATAGCACTCTGATACCCCCTCGATAAGGAAGGGGGTGCCAACGTTCACTTGGTGAGAGTGAAGGTGGTGTCTTATAAAATGAGAGGCTGGTGTTCACGGGGAGAAAAGGCCGATGGCATGTGGAGGTGTGATGTAGGGAAATGGCACTCGGGATACGTTATGGTGCTCATCTTACAGTTCTGCAGGGAGAGAATTTGCATTTACTATTTTTTTTTTTTGGTGGAATATACTGATAGTCCATATGTACATTTGGAAAATAATTAAAGTAATAATGAGATATGGTAACAGAAAGATCTCGGCTTGGAATTTGTGTAGAACTCCTTCCTGAACATGCTATGTTATTGGCATACTTTGGAGTTCCCCCAGAGGCACCTCTGCACCTCATCTCTCTGGCTCTAAGAGCCCCTAGATAGAGCTGCCTGAATTTCTCCTGGGCCCCCCACAGCACCACCAGCACCATCCCTCTTTCTTCTGGGATAAGAAAGAAAATGTAATGGACTCATATTTTGGTTCCAGAGACTGTATTTTGGTCCCTGCCGCTTTTCTGGAAATGTCTCTAACACTGGATCCTTTTTTTCTCTCTCCGCTCTTCCTTAACAGTGTTTTCTCTTGAGTGTAAAATCAAGGTTGGAGTGCAGGCTTTGAGCCAGATAGACTGCGGGGTAGCCATACCATCTTATTAAAACTCTCAGTGATGCAGTTTCCCCATCTGTAAAATGGAGATATGTTACAGTCCAGGGGGTTGTGAGGATTCAGTGATATATGTACCATGGTTAGCAACTGCCAGACACACTGTAAGTTCTCAATAAATGGCATCTGTGATTATCATAGCAGGTAATCTCTGTATGGTACCTAGACTTGTCTTAGTTAGCTAACCAAAAACTGATAGAAATTATATTACTAATTTGAGTGGCTCGTGAGGAACTTCAAACCGAGCATACCTCCTAGGGAGGTCTGCTAAACCTTTTGCGTTTTCTTTCAACACCAGATCAAATAACTCTGGCAACAGGTGAGCAGCGTGATTCCAGCAAGGCACATTGTTGCCTGCAGCTGTTTTGTCCTATGAGCCTGTGCATACTTGAAGTTTTACTTTGGGAAGCAAGAAAGGCCTCCTAGTGAGTAGGTTCAGCCTATATGGGCAAGTCTTTTTAACCATTGTATTGCCATTGAATTAGTTAAGCCTTTATTAACATGGCCCTCAGAGAGTTACCAGTCTAGTATAAAGAGTGAAGATGTAGCACTTTGGGCCTTAAACCTTATTTTTGTCTTGTTTTTAAATTAAGAAAAAGAAATCTGAACAGCAAATTGGAATAAAATATAGAGCTTTCTTGGACTCTCCTTTTGGCAATACCCTGTGGGTAGTGATGGAGGACTTGGGTTTGAATCTTGCCTCTACCGCCTGCTCACCTGTGGCCTTGAGCAGATAATTTTCTCTCTTGGGCCTTAGTTTCTCTCTTCATGCAATGGGTTACTAATCTCTTCATTAAAGGGTTGATAGAGGAACTACGTGAAGTCACTCACGTGAAGCGCTTCTGCAGCCTGCTATTTAGTTCCTCCATCTCTGGTATCATGTTTACCTCCTTTCAGCAGCCAAAAGGATTTTCTTTTGAGGCACCATGACTGATTAAGTGGTTCCAAGTCAGGGGTGCCCAGCGTGGTGCTAGAGTTTATAGAGCTTATTTTGGTGCCTTAAAGCTCACGTGACTGTCGTGGTGCTTTTTTTGTTGTTGTTGTTAAATGTACTTTTCTCACTCTCTTGGTTTCAGTATTCGGGATTCCACACGGAAAGATCTGAATCTGATCACGACAGCCAGTGGGGTGGAAGTCCCCTGACCGACACAGCCTCTCCGCAGCTCCTGGACCCCGCGGAGAGACCCGGCTCTCAGCATGACACGTCGTGCGCCTATAGACAGTTCTCTGACCGCAGCTCTCTGTGCTATGGCTTTGCGCTGGACCATTCCAGGCTGGTGGAGGAGAGGCACTTCCACACCCAGGCCTGCGAGGGCGGCCGGTGTGAGGCAGGCAGGTACTTCCTGGGAACGCCGCAGGCCGGGAGGGAGCCCTGGTGGGGCTCTCGCGCAGCCTTGCCCCTGACCAAGTCTTCCCCAGAAAGCAGAGAAGCCTATGAAAACAGCATGCCTCACATCGCTTCCGTCCACAGGATCCACGGTAAGGGCAGTTGAAATGAGTCCTGAGCTGGCAGCATTGGGCCCCTGGGCAGGTCTTTAAGATTCTAGGTTTGACACTGGAGGGACCAAGCCAGTGGTTTTCTCCTTTGAATTGACAAATCAGGAACTGATTGTAAAATCACACCAGTGGGATTTTACAAACCACATCCACTCTTTTTAAGTGTATTAATTTTGCTCATGCTTGCCACATGCATTTATTTTTGACATGTGAGTAAAAATGATTCCCATTGTAAACATCAAAAAAGTAAAGAAATTAAGTCAAAGTCAATTGTTGAGTAAGTCTATTGAACTTGTAATATGTATGCATTTAAATTTCTTGTGCATGATTTTCTTCTGTATTCTGATGGTTCAAAAGTGGACCTCTGTAGTTTTGGGGCTCTTTTAGTAATGCTTCTCAATGAGGGCCCCACTGACCTGCTGGGGAGTCCAGGCTTTGCTTTATGGTCTATCACTCTCTTCATAGGTGGTTTAACCCTCGTGGTCCTCTGGGCATTAAATACTGGTAACCACCCCCTTCCCCCATTATTATGACAACCCACAATGTCTTCTGTGGGTGAAAGATGGAGTGATATATAGAACCCATGGAAATTTTCACCTTGGGATTATTATACAGTTCTATGACCACATAGAAACGGGCACTGTGGTTGAAGCCTTTAGTCCAGTAATGCTCTTATTTGTTCATTTCAAAGTAAACTGGTGAAGGAGAGCCCGTTCTGTCCATTCCAGGCTTGGGTCCGGGCAGGTATCTGACACCCTCCCTGTTTCATTAAAAGTCAGTGACATTAAGATTGCTCGAACAGGGTGATATTACTCTTCTTGCTGGATCTTTAGGGTGGGAAATGGGCTAGACAATGTTGTACTCATCCATGGTCTCTGTCAGATACCACCCAGGCACTGACGGCCTTCCACGAAGGATTTTAATTTGTTTCTGTTTTTGCTTTTTGTTTTTCTATTTTTGCTTTGAGTTTCTTCAGTATGGTAGACTGGTAATGGAAACCCAGGGCAAAGGGCAATTGCTTGCCAAAGAATGGAGTGAAGCGAAAATCCTGGCTTAACCTACACGGTCTGGAAGAAAATATTAGAAATAAAATAAGAAGAAAGAGAAAAAGGAAAGCAATGAATAGTGTGATCCAGGGCTTCTCTTCTGCATTAAGCAGTTTACAGCTTTCATATGTCCCTTCCTGCTTTTCCTTTCCCTTTTTATATTGACTTCACACTGCTTTAAGAATAATATAGCTTATGGAATATTTTGGATGCATTGTTCCTCTGTATTAGATCTCTCTCCTGGGTTCAGAACAGATTGTTATTAACATTTTAAGTATTTATTTATTCTTCACCTTGAGAAACTAAGATACCAGAATTACCATATGAGTATATGTAAAACTGAGATTTATATCTCTAGATTTGAGGAGACAGTATTTATATTTTTGATTGGGACAAGATATATATATCCATGCATACATATACATATATATGTATTTATGAATATATATATATTGAACCCTCAAGTAGTTTTAAAACTAACACTAGAGCTTTATTGTAATTCTACTTACGATACACTTAATAATTTTAACATTTTAGATGATTTATTTGGAATTGGGAAAGTAGTCCAGTCTCCATCATTGTCTTCCTGAAACCCAATGGAAGGCATTTTCAAAGCATCAGTTTAATGTAACATTTCTCTAGAAAGTATCATAAACCAAATGCTATGCATTTTTCTTTTATTATTATTTACAGTCAGACAGATCCAACTCTATGCATACACGGAGAAGTATAAACACTCTACCATTTTGTTAATTGGCATCCAGGACCTACGGGCAAGGTTTACCTTCTAAAAAACTTGGGATAAACTTCATCTGCACTTAAAAACCACTGAAAACTAGGAATGCCAGTACGATACATTGACGCTTTGTCATGTGAGCCTGTGTCTGTTTCAAATATTGGTGCATACATTTAAAAATGAAAGATAAATGTTTCTTTTAATAGGAAAAAGAAACACACTTACAGTTTTGGGGATGAATTTTGAGACCACTTACTTTTTACTTTTTCTAATTTCTAGGGCGAGGTCACTGGGATGAAGATAGTGTGGTCAGTTCTCCAGACCCCGGGTCTGCCAGCGAATCAGGTGACCGATACCGCACTGAGCAGTATCAAAGTAGCCCACACGAGCCTAGCAAAATTGAAACTCTGATAAGAGCCACCCAGCAGATGATTAAAGAAGAAGAGAACAGATTGCAGCTAAGGAAAGCCCCCCCAGACCAACTGGCTTCCATTAATGGAGCTGGGAAAAAACACTCCCTCTGTTTTGCAAACTACCAACAGCCCCCGCCAACAGGGGATGTCTGCCACAGCTCGGCTCTTGCCAACACTTCACCATGTGACCACATCCAGCAGAGAGAGGGAAAGATGCTGAGCCCCCATGAAAATGACTATGACAACAGTCCCACTGCACTGTCTCGAATAAGTAGTCCCAATTCGGATCGCATTTCAAAATCCAGTTTGATCCTAGCTAAAGACTATCTACATTCGGATATGTCTCCACATCAGACAGCGGGAGACCATCCTGCCGTCTCTCCAAACTGCTTTGGTTCTCACCGGCAGTATTTTGATAAGCATGCTTACACATTAACTGGATATGCCCTGGAGCACTTATATGACAGTGAAACCATTAGAAACTATTCCTTGGGCTGTAATGGCTCACACTTTGATGTAACTTCCCATCTAAGGATGCAGCCAGACCCGGCACAAGGACACAAGGGAACATCTGTTATAATAACCAATGGAAGCTGATGTTTTTCTAAAATATTTTGTTCTTTAAGGATCTCTGAAACATATTTATAGTTTAATGCCCCATTACCAGCATTTACTATGCCACAGATGGTTAGAGAGGATAATTTAAGTTACTGGATATTTGACATGTGTTCCTGCAAAATCAAAGAGCACTAGCCTTCAGGGTTACACACAGACAATGGAGTTAAAATGAATACATAAATTGCCCATCTAATTATATGGAACCAGAATAGATAAATTTTGAATTGAAAAGTACTCTTGTAGATTAAGTGAGCATATATACCACATGAAAGGACTGGTAGAAGACAGTATTGCATTGTGATGTAAACCTCATACACACAGACCACTTATCCACAAACGGCTATGTACACTTTACATGCAGAAATGTCGACTATATACCTTAAATACAACCCACAAATGGGTAAGTTTTCTTAACCCTAGCACATTAAGCTTATTAAAGAAATTTCCATTCCTAAAATAACTAAGAAAGAGAGAGATACATCTTGTAAACTGGTTTCTTCGTTGTGATTTCAACCAGTCAGCTCATTTGGTTCAGGCATAAATTAGGGAAATGGTTCTGGCATGGTACAAGAATGAGTTTCCACCTGGTATCCATTTTAAGCAATCAGGAAGTGGTGATTTTTCACTTTATTTTTGAGTTAGACAAGGAACAGGATCACACTGACATAGCAGTAAGGGTTTTCTGAGTAAAAGGACTGAGATGTTGGGACACACATCAAAAATCTGGCATGCCCAATTGGAAATAGTTTAGTAAAGATGGAAAGGCCAGAGACAGAGAGAAATGAAATGATATCTCAACACAAACAATTTAAGCCTCCGAATATGTAATCAACATATTTCGGGCTATAAAACCAACCAAATTAAAAACTCAAACCGATTCACCAAGAAAAAAGGCTGCTAAGTGCAAGAAAGAACTAAGGAAAGCCAATGGAGGGCTATTTGGCAGCAGTGTAAGTGAGAACATTTCAGAGCACAGATGTGCAAATGCGACAACATGTGGAAAGCCTCAGGAGAGAGCCTAAGATAAAAGCTCGGGCTGATGGACAAGTGGTTAAAAGGGTAAGAGTTACTTCAACTGAAGGAACACGCAAAGCGCTCGTTCTCCTTATTGTCTGTGAATGACAAAAACAACAAACTTGGTCTTAAGTTCGGGTGATAACGGTAGAAAAACCAGCAGACTAGAAAGCAAGGTCTCTGGGTTCCAGTCCTGACCCCGCCTATAACTTAGTTTGGGAATATCACCGTGCCTGGGCCCTAGTTTCTTTGTCTGTATGGCCGTTCTGACTTGCCATGGTTCTGTGGATCATCGGTGCGACAGAACTACACTTGTTAACCAGTTAACTCTCTGCCGTCAGTTGTCAAGACCGATCCTTCTGGCTTGTCTGCACTCCTGCAGAGGTCCAGCTCCTTTGTAACTTCAGCAGGTGCATGGGCTCTTTTAGGCATGTGTAGTTACAGTCAACTTTCTGGTCCAGCCAGAATGTAGATGGTAGAAACTGATGAGGGAGTAGGAAAATGAGGACAATTTATTTCATGCACTAGTCTCTAGTAATCAAAGCAAAGTGACACAAATGATTAGAGAAGTTTCTTAGGCAGTCTTTTCTAGGCGCCCCATGCCTGCAACTCTTGCCATCTGCAAGGAGGGGAATGTTTTGGAAGAAACGGACTCATGATTTTCAAGACAGAACATGACACTGACACTCAGGGATTAGAACTCTAGTTGCATCACTTAACAGTTATTTGGCAGTTTATAGGCAGGTAACAATCTGAATGATGATAGTCTGAGAGATGAAGAGGGGGCCGTTTGTATATGACAAAAGAGGTGACATGAAATTAAGTATTTCTTGGGTATGACATAGCGACATTTGTGTCATAAATGGAAAAAGTGCAAGTGAGAAAGTTAGTAGTTATCATATATACTTTCAAAAAAGTTCAAAGAACAAGAAAAACTACATGTTAAACCACAGAAGCAAAAGTGTTCAGTGACTTTGAGAAAAATACTCATTAAAAACCCCTGGAATACTTAAAATAGATTTTTGATCAATTTGAAACACAAAGTCAGGTTTTAGGAATGCTAAACTTTTTGGGGAATTCTGTAGGTGGGTTAATGGTTCAAAGACACAAACATCTGAAGAATATGGTGTATTTTGGAAAGGAAATCTATACAGATGGGTTTTACTGATGGATATACATCCTACCAAAAATGTCAGGGACAGATGCTATAAAATAAATAGAATCTTCAGAATCAAGGAAAAGGAACTGATATGAAAGAAAAGAATGCCATTGAAGAGACTTCAGTGAAATCTTAAAATGGCAGATAGTTAATTGGCAAAAAATAAATTATGAACTCTACAAATAAGGGGTAATCAGAAGAAATAAAGCCTTGTAAGGTGGTATGACCAATATTTTTAAGTGAAGACAGAAGTAACTACATTACATCCTAATTAAAAATTTTGGTAGGCTGACCCCAGTTTTAAATACAAACCATTTATTTAATTTACATGTCAATAATTTTATAGTGGCAGATTTATTACATTACATATAATGCCTTACAGGCCCACAGTATTATAAGCTTACATTTTTGGCAATGTGGCATGATTATTACAAAATGCCCCAAAAATAAGATGAGACAGTTTATGACAAAGTACCTTTTTAATATGCACAAAAATGTATTAAAATGTATTTATAATCTACATTATCTTGTTCTGTCCAGGAACATATTTCCTCATAATGAAGATGTCATCTGTGTCTTTTTAAAATATGGGATGTAAAATGCGCATGTTACCAATAACTTAAAGTTAAATTGGCTTTAGTTTTAATCCTTGATTTCCATAACTTTGCTAAATGTTGAGAATCATGATACTAGATTGAAATAGAGAAGTATGATTTTTATATCACATTGGGGATTCATAAAAATGTGCTATATCCAATTGCTAGTATAATATGTAGCAATTCATTAGATGATACAAAGTTCATGCTTTCTAGTAATAGTAAGAATATCTTTATTGCCCATTTACCTACCTGTCATACCTAATTTACCAATTTGGATGACCAAATAAAAAAATAAATATTTCCCCAATGTTCCTTGAGAAAATTCTATTAAAACTATTGAGAATATACAGATTTGATGTATTATTTTTGGGTGCATACTATTAATGTCCTAATCACTACAGGTCGGACATTTAGGTGTCCTTCAGTTTCACAAGTCTTTTGACATACTATGCTGAATATAATGGGCTAGCTTTTCTAAACTGTAATTGCCTGATCTAGGATAATATGATGCAGTGCTGATGTGACATTCAAAATGAGACAGGATGCAATAAGTAATTAGCTTTCAGCGTTTATACAGAAAACCCACTCATTCTCTCTTGATTATATTTTATAGGGCTAGAATATTTCCATTGGGCACTATTCTTAATTCTCTCTACGCCCTGCTGCCACATGGTGCCTTTGGGCAGAGAATCCCACTTAAAATAAGCTTTAATGGGATCTTCCAGAAAAGGATAATATGCTCCATTTTCTTTTCTTTTTTAATTGGGGGATAAGGATCTATCCAATAAAAGATCATTTGGAAAATATGCATAGTTATCTTAAAATAAAATGAAAGGCTTTTTACCCCACAAGACCTAGACCAAATAAGTTTGCTAGAAGACACTGCAGCTAAAGAGACATTCTGAAGACAGGTATGTTTTTTATAGCTCTCTCTGCCTCTCAAGAGCAGGATGTTACTAAGATATTCAGTACACTTCTATTAGTACTAGTAGTATTTGGAAGTGACCGAGTGAATGCCGATATTTGGAAAACGGAGGGTTTGGTTATCTGGGGGTTACTTACCTTGCCCAGTGGAATAGCTTCCACTTTAATATACTTTCTTTGATTTAAACAAGTTTGAATGCCCAGATTTGGTTCTTCAGTTCATTCAAACCATAGAACATAGATCGACATTCTATTTACTGAATGATTTAAAGAATGTAAATTCAATGGCTCTCCAAATAAGTGATTCAACTTTCACGTAAATGTCAGTTTTTGTGAATAGGGATCTGACTCTAAGACAGCAGAAGCTACTGGTTAGTTCTTACTGGGACATGCATTGTGGATAAAAGATCATTCTAAACTTTAAATGAATGACAGAACAACTATGGATACATGCAAAGGGTATCTTACGTAGAAAATGTTCTTGGGGGAAATTACCATGTGGTGCTCATTTCTTGTGCCCAAGAGTTGTACGGGTAGTGCTTAACTCAAAAAGTGATATTGTGCTCATATTCAAATAGGGGTTTGTTCAGAGTTCCTTCTCTAGGGCTGTACGCAGAGAGGCTATATGTGTGTGTGTGTGTGTACACACACACACACAGTTGTAAAGCAAGTAACAAGATTTTGTTCCGCTGTGCTCCTTAAAAACCGATGGTTCACACAAGAAATCCTAATACTTTTGAACCAAACACTTATAATTTTATTTATTGCAATTTTGCTGCATGGGACTTTGCTTTCATATACCTATACAGTGGAGAGTTTGTCCTAATTTGCTGATCTGGAACACATTTAATCACAGTTGAATTTACACCAACAACCCTGGTGTGTTTACATTTCAAAAGAAATGAAATCGGCGTGGAAAAATTTTTAGAAGTACTGTAGCTTTCTTCCGTTTTTTTCCAAAGGGAAATATTTCAAAAAGTGAAACTTATGAGTAGGCATTTCAAAAAAGATAAAAATATTTTATGTTTGTTTTTTGACTGACATGCTATAAAAAGGATTATATTTGTGAAAGAAGATACTGATTGCCAATATTTCAAATACCATCTTGCAATGTATAGTTTTTAGTGACATCGTAGTATAAATCTGTAATTTGAACTTTTCCTTTGGAATGTAAAGTAGAAGATACTAGCTATGTCAATGATATCTTGCAAAGTGTTCCCATTTATAATTATTTATATTGTAAATAGCTTTCTGAAGTAAATTTGAAGTTAATGTGCATAAAATGTATTTATTATGTGAGGAATTTTTTTGGTTTAAAATATAGTTACCAATATGCAGTTTGAGTCTGAATTATTCATTGAATGAAAAGTTTCTATAGGACAAAACAGACTGTCCACTAGAAGACTGGAACTGTAAAGAAATAAGAACCATTTTAGCTCTAGATTGTGTTGGAATAGGTAACACACACACATACACACACACTTTGAGGGACCTAGCAATAGAAGCTTACGCATATACACAGTTAATATTAAGTAATCGGTCTGATTTTCATTAGATACTAGAAAATGGTTTCTCAATTTAGAACATCTTAGGGAGGACTCCTTTGATCTCCTCTTTGCTAAAATAAAGCAAGAAATGTAAAAGTACAGATTACATTTTTAATGCCCAAGGCAAAAGAAAACTTATAATACGAGATTTTTAAATTTGCTGTCATTCAAAAACACTTTAAAAAACACATCTTGAATTATTTATTTATTTATTTTTAAGATTTTTAAAAAAATTTATTTGAGAGGGCGAGAGAGAGAGCAGGAGTACACGGGAGGAGCAGAGGGAGAGGGAGAAGCAGACTCCCTGCTGAGCAGAGAGCCTGGACTCGAGGCTTGATCTCAGCACCCCAGGATCATGGCCGAAGGCAGACACGCAACCCACTGAGCTACCCAGGTGCCCCACATCTTGAATAATTTAGATTTTGGAATCCAAAGTAGTTTTTAAATCTAGAATTAGTAATTTAGGTCAAACAGAAATAGATTTCTGGGTAGTTCATAGCATCAAACATGTGGGTTTTTTTTCTTCCTTCAGGGTTTTTTGATATACCTTCATGTATTCTAGAAATTGTCAACCATTAGCCAATTTGACAAACTTACACAATATATTTTTAATTCAATGGAAATGGTTGTATTTCATAAAGATTTTTTGATAAAGCTGCCCCAAATATCATTACCATTAATATTATAGCATTTATCAGGTATTTTTTCACATGATTTTGTAAATAATTGTTTTAGTGCTTTAGTTTCTGAAAGTAAAATTGTTTTCACCACTTCATACTTCACAGTAACTGCCCTTTCAATTTAATCTACAACATTTATGGAATACCTATATATTCCTCAAATGGGATAGACACCAAAAATCCTCCTCATTGTAGGACGTTATAAAAAAGCACATAGGGAGGGTTCTTGATTTTCCCTTTGTGCTTTGAAAGTGTAAATTCTTTAGATAATCATAAAAATGACAAACATTTATTGAGTTGCCAAGTAACAGGCACTGAACCAGGCACTGCCACTGAAGGAAATACCAATATGCTCCATTTCACTAATGAGGAAAGTGAGACTCAGAGTCGTTAAGTAACTTAGTGACACAGCCAACCATGGTGGAGATGAAATTTGAACCCAGCCAGGTTTACTCCAAAACTTTACCTTACTTCATTCTGCTTTCTTTATGTAATTAAAAAAATAAACAAATAAAACAGTGTCTGCATGGCAGTCACATAAAGCAGATCACTCCATTCAGTCAAGGGCAGCTCCAGTAGCCCCATGTATGGTCTCAGGGCCAAGGATGCTGTTTCTCCCTTATTCCATGGACACATGATGGCCAGCCTGAGGGAGACAGAGGCCAGGTCCACTACCCCCTTACATAATATTTTGCTTCCTGCCAGATGAACATTCTGATGTTTCTTTAATATGAACATGATACCAAGAACAGTCTATGGCACAATTAATTACAGGTAGAGTATCTTAACAGGATCCCTATTATTTGAAAAATTTTTTTGAGGCTTCTCAATAAAATACGAGTGGTTTAAGTTGTAATTGAAAACTATACTTAAAAAAAGCTATAAATTTTTTACCCAACGTTTTCAGGATATGCGCCAAAGCAAGTATTGCTTTTTCGTAATTGTCATTAAATACTCTGCTTTATAAAACTTTCCTTCCTCTTTGCAGAAAGCCCAAAGCCCACACCACCGAGAACAGATGTGTCAACACTGCCTGTATTATTCAAGGGCCTGGTTTCAAGGGTACTTTGAGAGTAGCGCTTACTGGGCTGGTGCAAACTACCACATTATGGGATTTCCTCATATGAAGGAAACCGCTCAAAATTTATCTGACAGGAAGGCTGCCCCTATGATGATTCCTATAAGACGTCTTTAAGCAACAGCAAGAGGCTGCTGGGATCTCGCTGCCCTGGGAACTGTGGTAACTCCTGGGTGCATGCAGCCCAGGCAGGCTGTTCAGCCACCCCTGGCCCTTGGCATCTGCCTCACAGTGTCAGGAGGGTGGATCCTTTGTAGCACTTCTTGGCCTTTTCATAATTATGCTTTATAACTTAACATGTGCTGTATCTACCGATGGAATTAGATCCAGGGTGGGAGAAATGTAAAACAGCCCCCGCTTTGGGAGTTTGTAAATAATCTTTGCTTTGTTCAGCTTCCCCCAGGTCAGGCTCCTGTGTGGGGAGTGATTCCATATGGGAATCTTACTTGAGTGCCATCTAAGTAAACCTTAAAGGAAATCTTGGCAGTATCTCCTGAGCCATAAGGAAATCATTCTCAGTTTCTGGTGAGGATTTTCTGACAGCTTTGTGTAGTATATATATATTTTTAAAAAGCTGAACCCAAGGAGTCTTTTTATAGGTAAAGTCTCCGGAGTTCACTTGGGAAAGTGTAATTGAGATCTAATGTGAGAAGAATCATCCAGGCAGTAATTGAGGTTCATTATTTAGTTCAGTTCTACATTTCTAATTTCTGATTTCAGCCCTTGTGTTAGTCACATGCCCCATTAGTTAGGCTAGACAGGTTTATGTATGGTGGCATGCTAAAACTTTTTTCATTTAAAAGGTCCGAGACACATTTTTAATAAACATTTGCTGTTCTGTTATATAACTAAAGGTTATCAATAGCTAAGAAATTTTTTCAAGGTGGTGAGAACAAGTGGAAAAACTAGCAAGTTTTTAGATTACTTAAAAACATCTCTCAGTCACCTGTGTACCTTACTTAGATACCTACATCTGCTATATAATTAACCCTGATATTTTTTCTGCATAAAATTAAGGTATGTAGAAGGTGTCTTTTTTTTAAAATTTTATTTACTTGAGAGAGAGAGAGGAGGAGAGAGCAGGAGCAGGGGGAGGGGCAGAGGGAAAAGCAGGCTCCCTGCTCAGCGGGGCGGGACTTGATCCCAGGACCCCGGGATCATGCCCTGAACCAAAGGCAGACACTTAACGACTGAGCCACCCAGGCGCCTCTGTAGGAGGTGTCTTTTAATGTAAGACATAGAATGTTTTATTTTTGAAATTCATTTTTCTTTCATGGACACTGCTATTGTTCCACTTAATGTCCCCAGAAGGAAATAAGATGGCTGAAAAATTCTAGCACTTGGTCATATTCCCTTTGGTTGGTTTATGGCCAGGTCTCCTTCTTTGGACAACGACTTCCTGTCGTACTGTATGGCCCCAAAATTTTTACCTTTTTCTCCAGCTTCCCTTATCTTACAGACATGTTATTTTACTTCAATGACCATCTCTAAATGAGAAGGACTTTTAAAAATACGCATCTATAGCCATCACGCCACTGTCACACCTACAAAAATTAACAATAACTTCTTAATGTGGCACTTTTTAAAAGGAGGAGATGGAGATCAGGCATGAAGTTCTGTCCTTATGTCTCATGGTCCTGATGCCTCTCTGGACCCTTCTTTCACCCGTCCACAGCTCTCTTCATCTACTTACCCTTCTCTCCTTCCTTTCCTTTCCTTTTTGGCTCTTCTCAGCTCCTCCCCCCAGATTTTTACATGTACTAGTGTTCTTTGGATACATACCTAGGCTAATAAACACATACATGCACACACGCGTGCACACACACACACTCCCAGATGAGCCCAGCCTTCAGTGCATCAGGCCTCATTCCTGCTCAGCTGCTCTTGGCTCAGTTCTCACAGCTTCTGTTTTAAAGCCTGAGAGCAACCTGAATCCTGCCCTGAGTTGAAGACCGAGGGCTCTGGGGTCCTTGCTTTCCTGAAATATCTTGATTTCTCTCCCCAACATCTCAAAATACCTCTGTATCTTTGCACTTCTTTTCTGCCTGCCTAACTCATGAACCAGGTGACTCTGCTCTGTCAAATGAGGATGTTATGCGAAGGCTTTCTATCCCAAAAAGCTGTTGTGAGCATTCAAGGAAGAATGCCCGTGGAGCCCTCAGCGTCCAGCAAATGCTCAGTAGATGTTGGCTCTGATAATATGCTCCTGCCATTTTCCACTTCCCCTCATTCATCATCCAGTCAGCGTCCAATTAACACTTACCAAGTGCCTCCATGTACGACGTTCAGCTTGCCACTGGCAGTACAGATTAAACACATGGGGCCCCTGACTCGCGGGGTGGTGGGGACGGAGAACCCCAGCAGTCCTCCACTCCTCCTCCACTTCCCTGAGCGCTGCCCCTTCCCTGAACCCTGCACTTGTGGCTGAGGCTTCGACTGACACCGCGACTGACACCACCCCCCCAACCCCCTCCCGCCTCAGGACTCACTTTTTCTCTGAACTGCCCTTGCTGATGTCCTGAGCCAGCTTGGCAGTTACCCCCTCACGTTCTCCAGTTCTCCAGGGTGCTTGTCTGGGCTCCTTCGTTTGCAGCAAAGATCCTCGATGCAGGGACTGTTCCCTCTCCCACCTTTACCTCCGTGCCCTGGTGCCCAGAACAGTGCCCGACGACTCATCGCAGAAACGTGGCAAATATGCACCGGAAGGGTGAATAAATGCTCCCTCAGAAATGATGATGAAGTATTTCAAGTCATTGCATTTTGTTCTACAGTCCGTATTATTAAGCTTCCCGTGGCTTGTACTACCCAAAATAATACTCTGGATCCTATAAACATGATTATCGTGGCTTCGTGTTTTTTCTCTTTTTTTCTTTGGGCGAAGGGGTTTGCAACTTGCTTTCAACATTCTGATTTTGAGACCTGAACAAGTCTCATCCATGTTCATGATTTTTCCTATTACTTAGAGAGTAAAGGAGTGATATATATGTGACACTTTCTATCAGTTCCTGGCTTACTGCGAGTATGAGCA